AGCAATTCTCTTGCCTCAGCCTCCCGAGTAACTGGGATTACAGGCACCCGCCACCATGCCCAGATCATTTTTGTATTTTTTTAAATAGAGACGGGGTTTCGCCATGTTAGCTAGGCTGGTTTCGAACTCCTGACCTCAAGTGATCTGCCCACCTCAGCCTCCCATAGTGCTGGGGTTACAGGCATGAGCCACTGTGCCCGGCCTCAGGTACTTCATTTTACAGACAATGAAACTGAGGCCCCAAAGTCGCCATAACCTGGATGGGATAGGAGTCCAGGCCTCTCCTAACATCCACCTTTTCCTGCTGTATCACCCCAGGTCCAAGCACATTGAAAGATCACCCAGCCAGGGGACAGTCACAGGAGCAGCATTTCATCCAGACTCCAAGGTTTCGGTCCCGGCTCGTGAATGCTGGGCCACAGCTCTATCCTCATGACTCGAATCATGCCCACTGCCCGCTGCCCCCTCTCCCATTATCTCTTCTTCGGGTGACCATTGTCTCTTCTCTGCCACAGTTCTTAGCTGGTCCCCTGCTTTCACCCTTGTCCCACTGTAAATTATTCCCAACCTTAGGAATCAGCAAACCTGCTAAAAACCTAAGTCGGATCATGTCTCTGCTCTGCTCATGGCCCCTCTAAACAGCCCAAGTCTTCGCCGTGGCCTTTGTAGGCTCATAGTGTCGGAGGTGTCTGAGTAAGAGCAACCCCATCTTGAGTAGGAGCTGGGTAAAATGAGTTTGAGACTTACCGGGCCGCATTCCCAGATGGTTAGGCATTCTAAGTCACAGGATGAGACTGGAGATCAGCACAAGATACAGGTCACAAAGACCTTGCTGCTAAAACAGTTTGCAGTAAGGAAGCCTGTCAAAGCCCACCAACACCGAGATGGCCACGAGAGCTACCTCTGGTCATTCCCACTGCTACACTCCCACAGTGCCATGACAGTTCACGAATGCCATGGCAACATCAGGACGTTACCCTATATGATCTAAAAAGGGGAAGCAAAGGCCTTGCACGGTGGCTCACACCTGTAATTCTAGCACTTTGGGAGGCCACGACAGGTAGATGACCTGAGGTCAGGAGTTCGAGACCAGCCTGGGCAACATGGCAAAACCCTGTCTCTACTAAAAATAAAAAATAATTAGCCGGGCATGGTGGTGTGTGCCTGTAATCCCAGCTAATTGGGAGGCTGAGGCATGAGAATTGCTTGAACCCGGGAGGAAGAGGTTGTAGTGAGCCAAGATCGTGCCACTGTACCAAAATGGGCAACAAAGTGAGACTGCCTCAAAGAAAAAAAAAATTTAAAGGGAAGGCATGAATAATCCACCCCTTGTTTAGCATATCATCAAGAAATAACTGCCAGGTGCAGTGGCTCACGCCTGTAGTCCCAGCACTTTGGGACGCCAAGGCGGATGGATCACAAGGTCAGGAGTTCAAGACCAGCCTGGCCAAGATGTTGAAACCCCGTCTCTACCAAAAATACAAAAATTAGCCAGGTGTAGTGGCAGGAGCCTGTAATCACAGCTACTCGGGAGGCTGAGGCAGGAGAATCGCTTGAACTGGGGTGGGGGGGGCGGAGGTTGCAGTGAGCCAAGATCGCGCCACTACACTCCAGCCTGGGTGACAAAATGAGACTCCATCTTAAAAAGAAAAGAAAAATAAATAACCATAAAATGGGCAACCAGCAGCTCTCGGTGCTGTGCTGTCTATGGAGTAGCTATTCTTTTTATTCCTCTACTTTCTTTTTTATTCTTTTTTTTTTTTTTGAGATGGAGTTTCACTCTCTTTGCCCAGGCTGGAATGCAATGGTGCGATCTCAGCTCACTGCAACCTGTCTCCCAGATTCAAGCAATTCTCCTGCCTCAGCCTCCCAAGCAGCTGGGATTACAGGCGTGTGCCACCACACCTGGCTAATTTTGTATTTTTATTAGAGATGGGGATTCTCCATGTGGGTCAGGCTGATCTCAAACTCCCAACCTCAGGTGATCGGCCTCCCAAAGTGCTGGCATTACAGTCGTGAGCCACAGCACCCAGCTTTCCTCTTTCTTTTTTAATTTTATTTTTTTTTTTTTTCTCACTAGTTTATTCCTCCTCTACTTTCTTTTTTTTTTTTTTTTTTGAGACGGAGTTTCGCTCATTACCCAGGCTGGAGTGCAATGGCGCAATCTCGGCTCACCGCAACCTCCGCCTCCTGGGTTCAGGCAATTCTCCTGCCTCAGCCTCCTTAGTAGCTGGGATTACAGGCACGCGCCACAATGCCCAGCTAATGTTTCGTATTTTTAGTAGCGACGGGGTTTCACCATGTTGACCAGGATGGTCTCGATCTCTTGACGTCGTGATCCACCCGCCTCCGCCTCCCAAAGTGCTGGGATTACAGGCTTGAGCCACCGCGCCCGGCCCTCCTCTACTTTCTTCATAAACTTTTTACTCTATGGACTCACCCTGAATTCTTTCTTGTGTGAGATCCAAGAACCCTCACCTGAGGTCTGGATCGGGACCCCTTTCCAGTAACAACATGGTCCTATCCCAGCTCCCTCTCTGATATCACCTCGCTCTGTTCCAGCCTGACACTTCTCCTTCCCCAAATATACCAAGCACATTCCTGCCCCAGGACCTTTGCACTGGCTCTTCTGCCTGCATTAGTCTTCTCACAATCACATGGCTCATTACCTCCTTTCCTTTGCCAAAAGAACTGCACTACCAAAGAGGCCCTTCCCGCCGGGCGCGGTGGCTCAAGCCTGTAATCCCAGCACTTTGGGAGGCCGAGGCGGGTGGATCACGAGATCAAGAGATCGAGACCATCCTGGTCAACATGGTGAAACCCCATCTCTACTAAAAATACAAAACATTAGCTGGGCATGGTGGCGCGTGCCTGTAATCCCAGCTACTCAGGAGGTTGAGGCAGGAGAATTGCCTGAACCCAGGAGGCGAAGGTTGCGGTGAGCCGAGATCGCGCCATTGCACTCCAGCCTGGGTAACAAGAGTGAAACACCGTCTAAAAAAAAAAAAAAAAAAGAGGCCCTTCCCAACGACTTTCTGTAAAACAGTGCCTCTTCCCTTCGCGCTTTGTAATGTCCTTTATTTTCCTTCACAGCACTAATCACCACCTGACATCATTTATATTTATTTGTTCACTTATCTTTTCTCTCCTTCACTAGAATCTGAGCTCCATCGGAGCGGGAATTCTTGTCCATGTTGTTTATTACTGTACCTCTGGTGCTGGCACATAGTAGGTGCTCAATAGGTATTTATGGGATGGGTGACTCAAGCCTTTCCGTGAGTAAACAGTCCAGTGTTCTCATCAATCCATCCTGGCGCCCACCAGGCGAGTAATATCACAGTAACAATGGCAGCTAAGTTTTCAGGAGCATTTCCTATGCTCCAGACCTTAGAAACATGATCTCTTTACACAGGACACTGCTTTCAATCCCGGAACCCTGATAGTTGGGTGTGATCATGAGCTCAGAGGTTAGGCGACTCGCCCGAGGCCACAGGGGACGGAACAGGAACACAGCAGAAGAGGAACACAGACATGCAGCCTGACGGCAGAACTGTGTTCTTAAACCTTTAAGTTATAATTTGCCACACGCTGTAGAAAGAAGAAAACAGTGGAGATGGAAGCCACCTGGCGAGCTCAGGGCCCCAGATGGGAGCGCTGCTACCCACGTATGGGAGTCTGTCCCCATCGCTCTTCGGTGGTTGCAGAGTCCGTGGCCCCACTGACCCCGTCGTGAGTTATGGGAGCCACGGGACCCATAACCCAGCATTCCCGGACTCCCAGGGTCGTCAGGACACGGTGCCCCGCGCGGTGACGGATGAGCGGGCCCCAGCGCTGGCTTTGTGCGGGTCGGACCAGACAGAGAAGCTTCAGACCGGCTTTGGACGGGGCGTGGCGAGAGGCGGGCTGCGTGTGTGTGTGTCTTGGGGAGATTGTCTTTCTCCCTTTCCTGTCGGGAAAGGGGGCACAGGTGTGCCGTTGGCGCCCCAGGTGAGCTGGTAGCACTTTGAAGACCCTTTGTACCCCCGCATCCAGGAGCGACCGCTCGGAGAACCGTGCCCGCCCACTCTGCGCTCTTTCTGCTGCTACAAAGGCCCAGCCTTTCCTAGTACCGCCTCCCCCGCCCTAGGCATTTCTTCCGTCCCTTTTGACAGCCTAGGCGGAATAATCCTTTTGCGGACTCGGGCCCCTGCCCGGCCAGACACGGCCGCAGCCTCGCGCGCAGCCTCGCTCCATTGTTGGGGTCCACTGAGGACACCCCGCCGCGACCCTTTGTCGCCCGCCCCCCGGGGGGCCGCTCCAGATGTGCCACCGCTGCCAGATCCCCTCCCGTCCCACGCGCCCTGGGCCGCGCCGAGGCGGCTCTTACGCACCGGGAGGAGTGGGCCCGCCTCGCCCGGTGCCCGCACGGCCGCTGGGCTGCGCCTGCCTTTGTCTGCCTCCTTTGTCTGCCCCGCGCCCTCGCGGCGGCGGCGCCTAGGCCTCTGGGGAGCTGGCCCCGAACGCGGAGCGCAGCTGGCGAGGGCGCGCTGGCCGGGAGCGCGCGGGGCCCGGCCCCGGGGCTGCCCTTCGGCCGGGGGCAGTCGAGCCCGCCGCCCGCCGCCCCTCCTCCGTCCCCTCCCAGCGATCCCGCCCCCTTCCCTCCTGCCCGCCCACTCCCCCCTTCCTTCCAGCCCCGCTCAGCCTGGGCACATCCTCCCGCAGTCCGGGCACCTCTCCACGCAGTCCCCGTTCCGCGGCTCGCCCTCTGCTGCGCTCGGCTCCCGCGGGCGCTCGGCCCCGCGCCCCTCCGCCCCCTCCCCGCCGGCCGGACAGGTAAGGCACGGCTTCGGCCCGCCCCTGGCCCCGCCCCTCCCGCCGCACCTGGCTGCGAGCCCGGACAAAGGTGGGCTACCTAGCGCGCCCAGGGGCGGGGTGCGCGGGGTCCCGAGGCTGGAGGTGAGGATGCTGCTTCCTTCCCAGCCCTCGGACCCGTCCATCCGCCAGTCCTTCAGCCGCCTCCGCTCGTCGCCGCGTCTTCCCGCGGCCCCTGGCTCTGCTCCCCGTCTCCCCGTCCGTCCACCTGCAGCTGGACGCCCACTTTTCCACGCTCCGACACTCGGCCTCCCCAGCCCCCTCGCCGCCTTCTTGGGGTCCCGGCTAGCACCCACTCGCCCCCTCTGCACTAGTCTTCTCTCTCCGGGACCCAGTCTCCCTTTGTCTCTCTGTCTCTGAGTTTCCGGGTGGTCTCTCAGGCGGGAGATCCCAGTCCGCCACTGTAGGAACAAGACTTCGAAGACTCCCTGAGCCCCGGGCAGAGCTGGAGGGCGTGCCCTCCCGCCCCTATCGAGGCCGTCCTGGGGGCTGGGGGTGTGTGGCCAGGGCGGGGGGGCTGGGTGCTCCCGGAACCAGCACCGCCGGTGGCCCCGCGCCCTCCCTTCTGGGCCCAGGCCAGTACTCAGCCTGTCACCCCCGACGGCGCTGGTCTTTCTCCTGTGGCCTTCCGCTCTGTCCCTCCCGCTCTCCACCACCGGCGCTTGGCATTTCTCCGTCCGCTTGCCAAGGGGCTCAGCCGCCTTCCGGGCCTGGGTATGAGATGAGAGAGGGCCGGGGTTTCCCGCCAAGTCGTCCTCGCCTTCCTGGGCTGGGTGCTCCCTGGGCCTCCCTCTCCCCGCGGTGGTCTTCCCTGCCTGGTGTGCCCTCTCCAAGCTGCCCACCTTCAGCCCGGTGACACACGGTGTCTGGAACCGGTTCAGTACCATGCGTCTGGGGTCAGGCACGTGGGGTTCTGAGAGTGATCCTGGACAAAGGAATACACCTCTCTGAGCCTCAGTGTTCCTGTCACAAAACAGGGATGGCGCTAGTCCCTACCTAAAGGGATGTGTGTGGAAATACTGGGGTGCAGCCTGGTGCTGGTTCGCACGCCCGAGGGGGAGGGGCGGGGAGTCTACAGACCTGGGGTGGGGTGGGGATGGGGGCTCGGCAGAAATGGATCTCAAAGTTAAGGCTTAGAGACACTTCAGAGTAAGCCCCCAGCCACAGCCTCTTCCTCCATCACACTTCCTGTCACCATCACCATCACCCCCTCGTGCCCATACCGGCATCCACACTCTTGCAAGCACCCTTCTGTTTCTCTTCCTCCTCTTTGCTTGTCCTAAAATCAGTGAAAACAATCAGGGCCAAAGGGTCACTTTTTTTCAAAGTGAGATCAGTGCGGCTGCGCTGGTGTTGCCAACAGCCGGTTGCCCATCAGAAGGCGTCCCATGACTCACCCCCAATTCTAAACCTCAGTCTTGGGCTGATGTCTTTTATAGCGACATCGGGCTCACAGGCCATTTCCTTTCCTCTAGAGAATTGTCTTGCTGGCTCCTAGACCTGCTGTGTGCCCAAGCCCCCGGACCATGGCCCAGGTTGTCATGACACTCAGTGACATGGCCTGAGTGTCTTAATGAGGGCAACTTCAGAAGAGGGAAGCCCCTCAGCTGGCAGGTTCCAGGCTCCCCTGGCTGAGTTCTGGTTTCAGCCACAGCCAGGGCTGGCGACTGGAGCCTTTCTCTTTAGTGGCAAGAAAGGCCAGATATCCCCACAACGTCTCCCATCCAGGCTCCTGCTCGAAATCCTGCCTGGCAGACAGGGCCTGCTTTGGTGAACCTGGCCCTTCTTACCGTCTCTGCCCCCTGCCAACTCAGAGGCTGGAGAACCTTGCTCAGCTCCTCCCTCCCCCCTCCTCTGCCTTCCTCCCCACTATTCAATTCACCCCTTCTCCCCAAGCCACACCCCTCAGTGGCTCCCTGTGGCCACTCAGTTCACTACAGAGACCTCAGCCCAGCCCAGCCTGCCTCCTAGCATTGCCCACTCTGCGTCCCAGGTTGCAGCAACGATGGAGAGCTGACCATCTCCACGGCCCGTCCTCTGAGCTTTTGCTGGGGCTCTTTCTGCCCTGCCCTATGTTTGATTTCAGCCCTTCTGTCCTTGCTGACCAAGGAGGTCTGATGTCCCCTCCTGTGGGAAGCCCCCTGCACTCCCTTGCCTCTCTGTCCTTGCGGTCTGCGCCGCATGATCCCTATCTAGGAGGAGTCTGCTCCTCCTTGGGTGGGGGCTGGGTCCCTTCTGCTTACGGTCCCAGTGTCCAGTGTGCAGTAGGGGCTCTGTGCATACCTGTTATATTGAATGTGATTCCCAGTCAAAGGCACAGGAATGAACTGAAAATTGAAAGCCCCAGTGTTTTGCTGAGTTCTGCTGGGTCCTGCTGGCCAGACCAGGGCAGAGCTGGCTGGGGAAGTTGGAGGGAGAGCAAGTTCCCTGGAAATCCCTGTGGTACTGAAGCTCTGCATCACTCTGGAAGATGAGAGTAGTCTCTGTGCCTGATTATAGGGGCAGAAACAGAGACCAGAGAGGGAGTGGCTCACCCCAGCCATGCAGATTGCGTTTGAAGCCCAGCTGCTCACTCAGCAGCCACGGGACCTGGAGGGAGTTTCTTTGCTTGTGTCAACCAGGAAGGTGATGGAGCAGGGACCCTGGCCTCCCTGGCGACACAGCCTGGAAAGATCAGCAACTTCCCTCAGAGGCATGGGCAGGTGTGGTGGGGGCAGGTCATAGGAGCACCCCTGCTGTGGCCCATTGGGTTGGAGCTGCCTCTCTCTAGCTCCCTGGCCCTCTCTGCTTGCCCCACTCCAGCCCTCCCTTTCCTCTCAGGGGTGAGCCGCTGTGGCTAATGGTCCCCAGGAAGAAGAAGGATGTGGGAGGATGGCTGAATCCTTGCTATTAGAGGCTCTGCCACGCCAGGTCCCAGCTTAGCAACCCCCCATGCCCCAACACCATGACTTCCCTTGATGGGATAGATTTGAAGGGGTGGTTATGAGGGATGAGGCTCCTGTTAGAACACAGAGCAACTGGAAGGAGCTCCTTGCGGGCCTTACAGTGTTCAGGTGTTCTCTCTGTGCCAGGCTCTGGGTCAGGCCCCAGCTCATGCCACTTACCCTAGACTCACAGCAGCTGCACTGGTGTTGGTTACTGAATGGCAACATGAGGAGCAGTCTGGAATGTGATGGAGCAGGGATGATGAATCCCATGAGTCAGATGGCTGTGGGTTCGAATCCCAGCTCTATCACTTGCTCTACTAGGCGACCTTGGACATGTCCCTTGGGTCATTGTCTTTTTTTTTTTTTTTTTTTTTTGTTTTTTTTGAGACGGAGTTTCGCTCTTGTTACCCAGGCTGGAGTGCAATGGCGCGATCTCGGCTCACCGCAACCTCCGCCTCCT